CCCCTGTTGTATACGGCGTCGCCCCCTCAACGGGGCTTGTGTGTGTGTATGGGCTAGGCCCTGACCTGTTATGCATGCTTATATTTGTGCATAACTGGGCCTTTCGTGCGTAAGCAAAAGCGTAAGTTGGAGCGCGCATATATACATGTTTGTATGCATAAAAGTGTGCATGACAGGGAGGGGTTATCGTGCATAACGGTGATTATGCACGAGTGAGATGGGGGTAAGGGGTGGCTCAGACGCTCAGACAGCTCATTGTAACCAAAACAGAGCTTTTTTATCCCCTTCAAAGCCTCTTGGTCTTTTAACTCTTTGGTTGCAAGTCCACAGATGATTAAACAACAAATTGTAGATCTGGGGATTGGAGATTCGGTGGTATTGATTAATAACCATTCGTTGTTCAAACCAACCTTGATTACTATTGATTCAAACTACTTGACTTTTGTACAAGAAGAAAAGAAGAGAGAAAAGACGCAAAGACCAAAGATAGACCGAAGACCGAAGACCAAAACCACAGGAACACAGGACACACCGCACAGAGCGACCACCACAGAGAAGCGAGAAGTAGCGAACCAGCGAACCCGCCACCAGCGGCGCAGACCGCGACCCGCGATCCACGGCAAGAACAATGGCAAGCGGCGCAGGTGGTGTCGTCGCATATGCATGCGTACTCTAGCTCCGACTCTGAATCTGACGATGAAGCCGTGGTCACGACGGAACCAGGGGGTGTTGTTGGTGCCAGTGCTGCTGGCGGAATGGACGACTGGGCGCACATCTTCGGCGGGAATTCAAAACGTACTCCAAAGCAGCAGAAGGCGAAAGATAAGCGGGATGAAGTACGACGGAAGGAGGTCGCAGCTGTTGTCACCATTCCCACAGCGCCAGAGAAGGCGGGTCACATCGAGCAAGAGAGAGTTGTGAGGAACCACGCAATGGAGCGGGAACGAAATAGATCTAGGCGGGAAGAGGAGGAGGAGGACGAGGAGGACGACGACGACGTTGTGGGAGAGGGCGCTAAGAGGGGGAAGAGGAAGAAGAGGGGCTGTAGTCAACGCGGCCCCAAAAAAAGCGCGGTAGCATCCAGGTCCCACTGCAAGAGCGTCAGCGTCCATCATCGCATCAAGCAGTTTCCTGACGAGACACTGTTCGCCGACCGGGGCCAGCTCATGTGCGAGGCCTGCGGCCGGAATGCTATCTCTTTGACGAAGATCACCGTGTCACTCCACTGCAAGGTATCACACATGTTGGATAAACCGGGTAGGCCGAAGTTTGTAGGTTTGTGGAGAAAGGCAGCTCGGCCAGTGAGGGCCGAGATGGGAAAGTCTTGTATTAGAGGAAAAAGGGAAGGGCAGAGACCACTCGAGGCCGAGCAGCCGAAGAGTAGGGCGTCACCACACCTATCCGTCACGCANCAGTACAGCTCTCGATACTGGAATATACTGTACTGGCAGCACGGCTCTCGGTACTGTACTGTACTGGACGTTTTAGTACGCAGTTAAATACTGGAATAAAAATACTGTACTGTACTAAACCTGCCCGTGAACACTCGACGAGGACGACGGCGTCGACAAGGAGAACGCGGCTGCCCCTGCAATCGCGACCGAGAAGATGGCGCAATCTGCGGAATCTCTTCGTGTTGCTAACCCGACCGCGGGGTCTTCTTCAGTGCAGCACCCCGACGACACCAGGGGCTCTTAAAAACAGGAGGGGACTAACCCAACCGAAGAAACCCAAAAATGCGGGTGAGGTGAAGAAAACCCGTCGGGTGCTTCGAACTCTGAGGTTAACAGGACAACACTAACCTAAACCCAAGGCGGACCACTTCTACTAAGTTGCGGTGTCGGCAACGTAGCAGAAAGGATAACTGCTGGTGTCTGAGATGGAGGTCGTTCACGTAGGTTTCCAATCTAGCAGGTTGTTGTTCTTAAGGCAGCCTGCGCGGAAACACGCTGCAACCTGGCGGTTCGTTCGCGACATCAGTTGGGGAGGAGCAGGCCCTGTTTTTGTTTATCTTCTTTGCCTTCGTTCACCTGTGGCACAGGTCTTGTCAGAGTTGCCTGTTGGGATCCATCATTGGGTTCGGGAATCTGCTGATCTCTTGGTTTCCGGGGCTTCCGAGAAAGCACAGGTGGCGTTTTTTTCGTATGAATGTAGTTCAAGGTGTGCCTCATGACGCCAACCCTATTTTGAAGTTTTGAACAACCATGCTCTTGACAGAGTGTCTAGGAGTGTCGACGTTCGGGCGTATTGGGGAAATCCAGCATATCTTGTCCACTCGGGGGGTAGGGGGTGGCGTGTTGAACCACGTGCGGTTTGGGGTCCTTGGCGGCGGAACTATCGTGATTTTCGGCGTTCCCAATGGTGTAAGCACCGGCGAAAGGGCGTGAGTTCGATTTGGAGGATGCCCGAGGATGTTTTTCGTTGGAGCGAAATAAATTATTTGGCACTCTTGGTGCGCCAACATGCCCAGATATTTTCTCATTTAAAAATATTTTCTCAACAAGTATAATCCACCGTTTATTGATTCCCGAATGCTGTGCTGCTCCATGCTAATAGCCTGCTTATACTCGTCACGTTGTTACATTGTCCAGTATGTCGGCAACAGGGATAGACACTCACTAAATAAAAAATTGTTTGTCAGGATGACAGGGGCTGTCACACTTTCGGTAGTTTTTGCAAAACGCCCATGGGCGTTCCATGGGCGTCTCATGGGCGTCTCATGGAACGCCCATGGACGCCCATGGAACGCCCATGGAACGCCCATGAGACGCCCATGGGCGTTCGAATGCCCATGGGCATTCCATGAGACGCCCATGAGACGCCCATGGGCGCCTAAGCGCCCATGGGCGTTCCATGTGACATGGAACGCCCATGGGCGAATGCTCATGGGCAGTTCCACGGGCAGCGCTCATAGAACGCCCATGGAACGCTCATGGAACGCTCACGAGCAGTTCCGCGAGCAGTTCCATGGGCGTTCCATGAGCGCTGCCCGTGGAACTGCCCATGGGCGCTCCATGGGCGCCGCCCATGGTCGTTCCATGATGAGCGTCGTGGGCGTTCCATGATGGTGTTCCATGGGCACTACCTGGGGGTGCTACCCGTGGGCGTTGTATGAGCGCTGCCCGTGTGCGTTTCACGATGGGCGTTCGATGGGCACTGCCCGTGTGCGTTCCACGAGCGCTGCATTCCACGAGTACTGTCCATGAACATTTAAAGGGCAGTTATCACGGCGCTCCGCTCCATGGGGTGCTGATGCGCACAAATAAAGCAAGGGCACTTGTGCGGTGGTGTGGTTGAGGCAGTTCATGAACTGCCCGTGACGCTCACACCATAACATTATCCTCTGTGCAGGTTTTCCCTGTTGAGGAAAATGTTCTGTATAGGGTTCACGAATCGAGCAGGCGCAATGCGTAGACCCACACACGGCACCCGTAGGTCTTGCCACGAACAATATTGAACGCGGAGTAGTGCAACATGAATATATATCTATTACCAGACCTGGCGCGGAATTAATGTAGTCCGCAATTTGGAGAGCCAGCGAAAACGCTGACATGCACAGAAAATTTTCAACCTCCTGAGAGAGAAGACACAGACTAATATATGGTACTAGATTGCCGAACTGCCCCCCCCCGCCCCCAGTGGGCGTGGTGCTCGAATCGAAATATGGAGAGAAATGGACGGCGGTGAGAAGGCGGCGGCAAAGAGCAAACGACAGCGGAAAGATAACGTTGTGAGAAAACGTGACAGCGTGAACACCGGCATGTGCCTTGTGGACTGGCGGTTGTTGTTTGACTGTGTTAGGTCCTGTCAGGAGAAAAAATAGGAGAAGAGGATGGTAGTATCGAAACATTCCAAGGATGTCGGGGTCTCCGCACCATGATCCACAGCCTTCTCACCATAGACCCTCGGGGGGCCCCCGTTCAACCCCGTTTTTCCCACCCCAATTCCGTCACTGTACCACCCTGTTACTACTTCTTTGCCACCTGCAACTCCGAGGGCCAAGCCCTCCTCCCTCGGCGCTCCCGACAACGCATCAATCAGAAATCCGCTTTCCACCCGAAGTGGTAAGGTTAGAAAGCTGTTGCGCGCATATTTCAGCGCGCAAAAGTCTGTGCGGCATTGCTGGTCGGTACTGCTACGGGTCACACAAAGATAAAACCGCCCGCCGTCTTGCCCTATCTGAGGCGCCCCCCGTATCCATTCATCGTCGCTGACATTGGAATTCCAACATGAACACGTAAGCCTCGCTGTCATCAACCCTGTCTACGACCAAAGGCAAACATCTATCGATCGTGGCCGACACCTCCCATGGAGTACCAACCAAACCAACACGCAACACAAATCAAGACCATACCGCAAGCCTCGCTGTCATCAACCCTGTCTATGAGCGACGTCAAATGTTACTCCGTATCGATCCACACGCAAGCCTCGCCATCACCAACCCTGTTTACTGGCAACCTTGAAACGTGAATCTGTCGTCGCTGATGATCGATTCAAGTGAAGACGGAACTCTAAATCTTCGACATAGTCGTCGTCGGTCTCATCCCCCTCTGCCTCATCTGACGTAAACACATACCGACGTCGTACTTGCTGACGAGTACGAATTAGACGTATGTACATAGCATGCCTTCCTGAACTCAATACGGCGCCACTATCGTTCCACTTGCGATACGCGTTCAGCATGGTTTAGCATCCTCTACTTGTTGCTACCGGAGCCTCCCGCCGATTTCCCTTTTTGGGGGGGGGGGTGGCGTGTGCTGCATGACGAGAGGGGCATGTCGTTCCTGCAGCAGTTTGTCTCGTGGCACTTGTCGACTTCCTGTAGCTGATCTAGCCACCTGTTAGTCGATTTCGGGTCGCACGTTGGTTGCCCTAAAGTGAGTAATGTTCACTTTGTTCAAGCGAGATGGAGTTCTAGGTGGACATGATGGAATGCCAATCAATACTGACGATGACAGAGCACGAGTCATGATAATGTACGCGAACCAGTCGGATGACACCCCCCGCCCCAAAAACAAATTCCCATTGGAACACCCCCGTTTGAACCAAACCCATTCCTCGAAGACCATGTATCGAGGGTTTGACTACGCGCAATCATCCTATTGCATATGCTTTTCTTGTGGAGCTTACCTGTCGGCAGTCTGACGTGAGCATCCTTTGATGATGGACGTTGGGCCGTTAAGGATGCGACTGATCTTGCCCTTGTGCGTTTTTTTGAGGGAAACGTACGCCCTCGCCCACGCCCGAAAATCCCTCAGGGTTCCGGAGTCGTACGGCAGGACCTTTTCGACAAGCCCTTGGAACCGAGTCAACACTGGGTCAGCAGATAGAGCCCCGCCTGTTGTGGGTGCATAGGGTGCATGCACCCAGCGGGGATGTGAGGGGGAAACGTTTTACGTTACATAGCGGGCGGGCTGGGGAGAGGCCAGGCTGAAATTTCGCAGAGAGGCTGTCCTCTACCATCAACAATAGGTGGTCCATATTCGCGTCGACAGTGATCTACGCTTGATCCAACCCTGCAACACACGACCGACAAACACGCTTCGGGCATGGTAAGGCCTGAAGAGCTGGTGGAGGATACCACTTGTAGGCTGTGGGGGCCCTGGAGGATGTCGTTGTAACGTGGAATGCGATATATTTGAGTCCCGTATAAACATCAAACAGGGTCGTGCGTGAACGACGAACGCGGCAACGGAGGGGTTAGGGTGAACATGAATTGGACTCGACCGGGTGACGTACATGTGTGGGAGGAACAAATTACCTCGGCGTATTGGGGTAGTGGTTGCTGACGCATGTGACCTTCCAGTCCATTTCCCACATACTCATCCGGTCACAAATGCATATGGTGGACAAGTCATGTAATATCACCCCGTGCCCGCCAACATCGACGTCTAATGTGTTCCTCACGTTGTTGGAAGTCTCCAGGCTCTTGGCGCAGATCGGTGTCGCGGGAGTCTTCGGCATCGCCGGCACTACGATCGGAGCCTCCAGAGCGGGCACTCGCTGGGCCCCTGCATTCGTTGTAGTTGCCGGTGCGCTGGCCGGGTCTAACCCCGTCCTTGTCGTAACCACGGCGGTTGACACCGTCGCGGTTGAATCCCGCCTTGTCGTATCCGTCGGCGTCGTGGGTTCTTCCAGGCCTGCCGAAGGCATCGAAACGGAACGAAGGATCCGCTGATGCGCACTGATCCGAAGCCTGTGCGGGGGGCGAACGTGGAAGACCGTATGTTCCACTTGGCCCCGGCGAGAAGGGTACACGGGCACCCGACCCCTCCGTCCTAGCCTCGTACGTGCCACTGGGGCCCGGAGAAAGAAGACTCCGTCCGGGTGTCTTTCCGCCAGTAGACGCTGCGGCAGCCGCGGACGCGTTAGCCGGTGCGTGGGTGGTGCTCCCTCCCACAGAGGCGGACGGCGCGGCCGTGGGCGTCCCCACACGCGCACCCGGGAGATCGGATGTTACCGCGGGGGTATCCTGTTCCGACTGCGCCCCCGCAGTGGGCCCAAGCGAAGAAACCCGCGGAGGAGGACCCCACCCCATCGCGTTGAGGGCGGCAGCGGCCATTTGCAACGTCTGAGGGTCGAGCCGAAACTGGGAATTGAAAACGGGAGGGTAAGGGTAATGGGATTATGGATGTGTCAGTGGAGTTGGTTTTCCCGGGGCTACTTAGTGATAGATGATTTCCATGAGAAGCATCATGTGCAGCAAAGGGGGGCAGACGCATCCTTCGCGACATAGTTGCAGGATTCGGCGCGTGACCTATACAGTGTACGCATTAGGGAGGGTACTGGCTGGGAATGCATACCGTAGCGTGTTGCGACATGCTTGTGATTTTCATGAGACAGACGTGGTTAATCGAAGAACATAACTGTCTTATATGAACGATAGTACTTCGACGGGGTACCACGGAGGGGGCCAAGTTTTGGAAGTTGGTCCACCTTTACTACAAATATGCAGGCGACGTTCCTATAATTTTTTTGTCGCTTAATGCTACCGCAGACGTCGGAGTTGTTCCTCTGAATTCAAACCTGGGCAAAAATTGACATACCGTGGGGGGGGGGTGGGGGGGAGGGAGGTTGTTGCGTTTTTCTCGGTGTGCCCCGGGGGCACTTCCCCCCGGGGAGTTGTGGTGGTGCGTTTATCCATGGATGGACTCCGGCGAATACAAAACCATACACAAAACCAAGCGCTTCACCTAAAAAACAACGCATAGAGCCAATTTATTTATTTATATTTGCCATCCGACAGGTAGGTGTAGGTGTAGACTATGAAACAAAACTCTCACTCACGTAGTACATTCCACGAATTTCCGAAACTAAATATGTACCAATACCAACCAGTAAATGTTTTCTGTCACGCTCCGATACATTCTTGTTAGCCAATTGTCGAGGTATAGGACATACCTTGCTCGAATCGCAGATCTTCATATGTATTTTTTGCACCGTATCAATCTTTTTGTGCTTCGCGATGCTTAACAAAAAATCAAACGTAGCACCAACAGCACCCACACACACACACACACACACACACACCCCGGCGGGAACTGTTGACTTAAATTAGTACCCCCGGGATGAAATTGGCGTGTCCGGGAGTGGCTTTTTTTTTTTACGTCGAAAACCATGTACCCCGGGGTAAATCATACAACGCATGCTTGCAAGCCGAAAAGGAAATGGAGCGGGGGCAACTATACTCCGGGGGGAAAGCTCCGACGTTTACGGTAATTACATGCTCCACATACAAATCTGCGCCATTACGGCCGTGACGTTGGACCGTGACGTTGGAAGTCTATCATACGTCGATCCCGCGACAGAAAAAACATGTGCCATCTTACCTGGGGGAGACCATGACCTGGTGGTCCTCGGGAGTCTGGGTTGCCCTGTGGACTCGTCCATGACGCCTGCACGGATAGAAGACGAGAAGAAAGGAAGCCGCAAAGGAAAGAGGTTGTGCCGTATAGCCGTGCCTATTAGCAAGTTGACAGGGATCGACACACTCCGTCCAGATATGTGTATTCGCGAAACCCCCCACTGACTCGATTCGGGCAGACCAACAGACTTGATCCCCCGCACATCTAATAACAAACAATCACACGTTGTGGGTGGGATCATGCCGAACTCATCAACGACGGCTGAACTTTACCTCCACGCGAGCTGTGGCGAGGCCGTGTTGATCGGGCGTCGCCGCCCTGCCTCGGTGCCTCAGAAGCTGAGCGTGGTAGGCGTCTTGTTGTTCTTTGCGCCTCTTGTCCGAAACTTCCCTCGAGGCCTCCGTCAACTTCTTGCGCTCCTCCGGAGATAGAACGCGCCCCTTCTTACGACTAACTTTCGCGCCGGGGTCAGCCGTGGTGCTGGCGTCGTCGTCCACGTCGACGACCTCTTTTACCTTCGAAGCAGACGCACCACGTTGCCCGCGTGCGCTTCGTGGTCGTTTCGCCTTACCTTCGACGGTCGCCCCCCCTTGTCGGCCCCCGAGCCTCCGTCGTCGCCCCCCGAGCCTCCGTCGTCGTCCCGCGAGCCTCCATCTTCGTCCCCCGAGTCCTCGTCGGAGTCGGAGGGTATCCAGTCGGAGTGGGGTTTGTCGGGGCCGTCATCGCTGTCGTTGTGACAATCGTAGTCCTCGCCGACGTAGTTGTGGCCAGGGGTGTGTCCTCTCCTACCCCCACCGCGTGTTTTGCGCTGATGACATGTTGGTGCACACAGACGAAAGGGCAGAGGGGGGAGTGGGTGATGATTAGCGCACTCACACGACGCAGACGTCGGCGGGTCGAACGTGAGAATAAGGAACACGAATGGGTGTAAATCGTGGCACTCGAGGGACGGTGTCATTTTAAATTACGATTGAACCTCGAGGCTTAAGAGGACTTGTTTTGGGAACACGTTGGCGCATCGAGAAATAAGAATCCCTTGTCTTTGGTGGATTTGCGGATGCCCGACATTCTGCGAGTACATGTAATTTTAGGGCGCGCCGATTGGGGTGCCGATAAACAACAAACAGATCGCAACGCAATGCTGTAGTACAAGTGGGGTGTATATGGCACAGTAGTTAGACGATCGGTGTATTGAGCATATAGCTTACCACAAAGGCACCGCCTCCGGCCGCCTTCAACCCTTCGTTGAAATCGCCCATTAGGGCGTCTATCGCGGTTTCTGAAGCTCGTGTTACGTCGGGAACTTCCCCCTCGACATGCTTGTAGTGCTTCATGCAGTTTCGCCGATAGTCTGCGTATGGAGTCGCAAGTGGAGTGGGGGACGGGCAGGGTCGTGGGTGGTGGACAGTAGGGTTAGAGCAACCTATTGGTGGGTGGGGCATTGGGCGGGACTCGTTTCCCTACACAATGTCGGCGGCCCTTGTACGCCGCAAGAACTTCAAACGAGATTGGCAGACATGGGCGAAGACAACAGGCGATGTTTACAGCCGTAGCATGACTGTGGTAAATAAATAGTGTAGACAAGCGGGATAAGCGGGATAGATCTGCGTGGAGTACAGGGACCCATCGATTGAGAGCGAGACCAGGGGGAGGTACGTCCCCCCCGCCTCCCAGTGGGGCGGGGGGCCCGTATGTGAAATCGTATTTTTTTCGGGATTTTTTTGTGGTGGAGGGGAAACGGAAACTCCACGAAATACCAACCCATCACATTCATTCGTGACACACATACATATCGACGTATTGCTGTGTGTCGACTGCTGTCACACACATGTGGATGCAGCACACAGCGATAGTTCAGCAAGCGGCATGTGTCCATAGGAAAGTATACAAACCTTGTACGGGTGGTTCATCGACGGGCATAGTGCAATACTGCTGTGTAGCACGCGGTGGGGCGATTCAGCGAACACGATTCAGCCGACCTCTCTCTGTCGATGACATCACTGCAACAGGTAGGTGACAAAGACAAATCCTAATGACGTACAAGAGTACATTGGAGGTTGATGTGTGTGCCATCATCGCGGTCTTGCGGGTCGACCGCGTTGTGATGCCATCATCGCGGTCGATACGTACGTGTGTGTGCAGGAAGATCAACAGCCAGCCTCGGGATCATATAGTAAGTCTGCTAGTACTCCCCCTCTTTGTGGGTTGTTGGCGTTGGGATGATAGCTATACAGGATTAGAACCACAAAATACAATAGCAGTCGGTATTGACACAAGACTGCAGCACGGGCACAGTACGAAGGTCGGCTACGTATCTAGGAGCACGCGTGCGTGCCACCCAGGCCACCATATGATATGTCGTATGCGGCGGAATTCTCTACCCGCAACCAAAGAGGGTGTGCGCGGAGACGAGAAAACAATATTATTATCGTGTCAGGCGCTACATGGAAAGGCGGCACACCTTGTACCCTCATGTGATATGGGTATGTCCTTGCATCGCTAGAAGACTACACCAGGATTGCGATGCGAGAGAGTACCAACTTAACGCGGAAATTGTCCCATACATGGGAAAAAAAAGCAAAAAACAATCCCCGTCGATTTGGGGCTGCCACGCTTTCGGTAGTTTTTGCAAAACGCCCATGGGCGTCTCATGGGCGTTCCATGGGCGTCTCATGGGCATCCATGGGCGTCTCGTATGTGTCCATGGGCGTTTTACAGAAACTTCCAGTAGTGTGGCACCTTGCGTCGATTAGACTATCGTCTAGACTACATCGTTCGTGTTGGGCAAGAAAATATGACACCATTCATATAACATGAGCCTTGGGAGTTGCGATGCACAACCTTACCTTTGACTAGCTTCCCGTTGCGGTCGGGCCCGATGCGGTAAACTATCCACTGCGGATCAAGACTTGTCCAGCGCAGACAGATGCACAGAAAAGCAAAGGAAAGAAAGCGAGGCGAGCAACACGGAATTATACGGAATTACATGGTTTTCCTGGATCCGCCATGCAGTACAACGTACGAATAGTGGTAAAAAAGTAAAATAATAATAGTGATAAAAACAAAAAAAAAACTTGTACAAACGAGCACACATACATTACCTTCTGCGGCCCTACCCGTCCGCAACGCCAACGACCCTATCAGGGCGATGCGTGCTTACCATTGGACCCCTCCCCCATCCTAGCCCGCTCACCAAGGAGGTCAGCTTTGCTACTTGCTACGGTTAGGACTACGGCTGCCCGTTTATTTAGCTTAATATCTAGGCTGTACTGACATTCGACACGCGAGAACACATACTACTGTTATCAGCGGACAATTATTATCCCACGACGTTGCACGGACAATACTACCGTGTAACGCTAGGTAACCTGGGGATAAATTCGACACATCTCTCGATTACGATCATGGTACTTCCGTCCCTGTTCGATAGGTCGATGGTACATCTGTCCATCTTATCCACCATGTCCTTACTTGAAGTGAGGGTTAACATCTATATAACTTACTATTTGCCGCCCGCGAGAGTCCAGTGGTACCCTTCGACCACCGATTCCCTAGATATCTTAACGACCCTGCCGGTTTGGTAAGCCGCCTTAGAGCCCCTGGTATGCGTCTGTACACGGGCGCAGAAGGAGATTTGCGGGACGCAATGAGAACAACACTTCCGACCTCTTTCGAGCGTTGATGCACGACATAACCATCTCCATCCGTAACGTGTCGTCCTTTGTACCTCTGTGATGACGTCAAGACGGCTATTCGTAGGCTATCAACCTATTCGACATACTCAGTGCGAAACTCTCCCCGTCCTCCCCCTCCCCCGTCCTCAGAAAGTTTATATTGTAACGAGGTGGCTGATAGAAGAGGATTACGCGCGCGGATATTCAACGTTAGTTACGTGCGAATTGTTTCCTTCGACACTCACCACATCCTCATAGCAGATGAGTTGCCCAGCATGCATCTTCAGCCCTTTCCTGAACTCGAAGTGGGTATGGCCGCTGACCATCGGGTACCACGGCTGTACACACGAACCGGGGGTAGGAT